CCCCCCCCCCCCCCCTAAATCCGCGCCTGGATATCTAATACAATCCGATATATCTTTAATTCATTCATTTATAGATATCACTATTACGTTCAAAGCTATCTTTAATTCTTTTAGAATGATCCATGTGACTGGAACAAGCGGAGTAAAGTATTTTGCTCAAAGATACAACACAGTGCCGTGACTCGAACCCGCAACTCTTCGGTCACGAGCCCGGCGTACTACACTAGACTACGCTTAAGAACAAAATGCAATGCAATCAATAGAACCAAACGTCGACAAGTATACAGTATGTAATTTACAAAATTGAGACAAGGCTGCTTGATTTTAGCTGACGATTTTTTCTTTGCTTCTCTACCTATTTAGTTTGGCGGTGTCTCCCGAAACCCTTCTCTTCTTACAGCCTTGATTGTCCTGAGATCTCAAATATCTGAACCGAAAGTCATTTGATGAGATTTTTAGCTCACGTTAGTTTTAATCAAATATTTCAGATCACGATTATTTAAAACGGAGACAGATCCCAATACAGTGTACTTACTAACCCTGTCTGTAATTCATCAATCGTTATCATAAACACCTTTTATGATCAGAACCGAGTTGTATAACATAATTTACAATTAACATCTGGCACACTATAGAGTACTTCTGACGTTCTTCGTTATAAATACTTCAATCGTATTTAAAATGAGTACACTTCATATTATTACATACCTTTATTGACATTATAAATATTTATCATTTAATACTCAGCCCACGTGCAGGTTTCGGGGGGAGGGGGTAATCCCGCTGTGTCCCACTGTATGTACGTTTGAGTGTAAACCGTTTACAGAACAATTTTTCTTTTCTCTGTTACTTAGGGAATATTAAACAAAGTATCATTGATCTGCTTCTGCCGTTTCAACAGACGGTCATCTTTTTTTTATTCTGTCCTACCAACTAGTTTTTCTCTATGGAAGCCAGTACGGGTCACAAAGACACAAAAATATGTTGTTAAAAAACGACATAGCTATATAGAATTGTTTTCTGGGTGACCCGTACCGTACGGGTTAGGTATCTCTCGGCAGTGTTTCCAAAGGACGTTAATCGTAGATAAATACTCTTAGTTTCTGTTCAGATTGTCTCACAGATTAATTCCCGTTACTTCGGTTACGGGACATGTATCGCAAAGACCAGCTTTCCAATAATGGTGTGTTCCTTCAGTAAAGGGACGTAACTCTTCCCGACTTGACAGTTTGCTCGTGTGCCCGTCTATAGTGCTTACCATCGAATTGCGTTGTCATCATAAAACCCTACCACATACAGATCGCATTCATATCAGCTATGAATGTCATGGTCCAATTGTTATGGCATTGTTAGTATGACGTCATACTTGTTAAATACCATTGACCCTCCCTGGACAGATAAGTGTTCTGTGCATTGAACAAATATATACATTGTACGTAACGTACATTGATTCGAATTAATGCTGGATTTTAATAGGTTCATTTCAATTTTTCTATAAGATCGACATATTTCGGAAAATGTGTATGATGTAAATATTGAACCGCTTAAAGATGACATTCATAGCAAATATAAATGCCAACTGGACAAAGGCAAATCAACAAGTTCAATTAATCTGCATAGACTGTTGCAGATTGACTCCCACCCTTCCTCTACAGGGACCCGCCCATCTGACCCCACCCTTCCTCTACTGGGGCCCGCCCATCTGACCCCACCCCTCCCCTACTGGGGCCCGCCCCATTGCCCCCACCCATCCCCTACTTGGGGCCGCCCATCTGACCCCACCCTTCCTCTACTGGGGCCCGCCCATCTGACCCCAGGGAGAGAGCAAGTTAAGATGTAGTCTTTTTCAAAAATAAGATCAAACCCTTCTGCTTCAAGAAAGAACACAATCTTCATTTGAACACTTCTAGATCATTTTCGCCCGTCGATAATTCAATATATAGTTTAAGTTCATCATCATTTGTAGGCTGTACAAATCATCATCTGTAGGCTGTACAAATCATCATCTGTAGGCTGTACAAATCCTCATCTGTAGGCTGTTCAAATCATCATATCTAGGCTGTTGAAATCAACATATGTACGCTGTTCAAATCATCATATGTAGGCTGTTCAAATGATCATCTGTAGGCTGTACAAATCATCATCTGTCTGTTGAAATCAACATATGTACGCTGTTCAAATCATCATATGTAGGCTGTTCAAATGATCATCTGTAGGCTGTACAAATCATCATCTGTCTGTTGAAATCAACATATGTACGCTGTTCATATCATCATATGTAGGCTGTTCAAATGATCATCTGTAGGCTGTACAAATCATCATCTGTAGGCGGTACAAATCATCATCTGTAGGCTCTTCAAATCATCATATGTAGGCTGTTCAAATCAGAATATGTAGGCTGTTCAAATCATCATCTGTAGGTTGTACAAATCATCATCTGTAGGCTGTACAAATCCTCATCTGTAGGCTGTTCAAATCATCATATAAATCATCATCTGTAGGCTGTACAAATAATCATTTGTAGGCTGTTCAAATCATCATCTGTAGGCGTTACAAATCATCAGCTGTAGGCTCTTCAAATCATCATATGTAGGCTGTTCAAATGATCATCTGTAGGCTGTACAAATCATCATCTGTAGGGTGTTCAAATCATCATCT